GCAGTTTATTGACACTTCTGTTCGGTTTTTCATTTTTGGTAGCCGCAGCTTGCGACCGAGAAATCGGAAGAAATTCTACAATATATAGCTCGGCGTTCCAAAATACGCTACATTTTTTCCAAAATTTTCAGAATTCCTCAAAAGGGGGAAACGGTCGCAGAAGCGCGCAAATCTAATTTATCGCGAAAGTAGCCTCGCGGACAAGTAGCAGGGTTGGGGAATTTTGCACGGTCGTGCTTTCGCCGTCTAAGGGTCGATACACATCGTGCAACGTTAGAACGAAAGATTGCGCATCGTAACAGTTCCGTAGTTCCATCTCGCTTTGTTTTAATTATGGTCGAAGCAAGTCTGGTCCTGCAAGCGTGAACACGTTTGCCACACGGCCTGGCACGCTGCGATCACGGCACGCGTCCTGTGAACGCTGCAATGTAAATCGAATGTAAGAATGATTCAGCCTTGGTCGGCCTTCGAGCCTGCTGGCACGTAGATGTGTGCCGACCCTAATCGGCCAGGCCTTTCGCGGAACCGTTCCGAAACGCGCGACGGGATTAATTCGTCATTGTGCCGCGGCGAACAATGGCGGGAACGGCGGTCGGATCGGATAAATGTAACGGCTAAAATGCGTTCTCTGTAGCAATTACCAGTTTCCAAGAATTTGTCCACCGTTGCATAAATCACCGGCGGGCCCGGGCTTTCCGCGTGGCCCGTGTCGCGGCTGTCCCGGTTTCGGGCGCGAAAGAGCGCGGACGAGAGAGGCCGACGGGACATTTATTTACAAAATTTGTTCGGCAAACCATCGGAGAAATAGCCGAAAACTCTCTCCCTCTCTCTCTCTCTCTCTCTCTCTCTCTCTCTCTCTCTCTCTCTCTCTCGCTGCTGTGTGGGCATCGCTGCAGCACTCGCGCGCGCCGCAAGTTTTCCGGTGTAATTACGAGCGCTCCAGCTGGAGTGGATCGTCGACGCGCCGCAACGGTTTTCGAGGCGCGAAAGCTTGCGGAAAAAGCGATATGAACTCCGCTCGGAAACGACGATTTGTCTCGAGCCTCCTCCGCGGCGCTCGACTCCAGAATGGCCGCCCTCTCGAAGCCCGTATTTCAACGGGCCGCCTCCTCTCCGCCGAATTCAATTTCCGATCCGGCGTTTTGCAATCGCGGACCAAGCCGCGCGAGGACCCGCTTTTCGCGCGCGCTATCCGCCGGCGACGTATCCTCCTCGATCCTCCCCCGGCTCGATCCTCCGCTGTCGATCCACATCCTCCGATAGTAGGTCCTGCAAAATTCCTGACAAATTCTTCGTCGGTGCGAGCAAACATTGTCACGCCAGCTACCAAGATGAAACGTAATCTGCGATTTATTAGACTTCGCGCGTGACCCACTGGTTCGCGGATGTAGCTCCTTTCGAAACGGAATTGTCATTGTTATCATCGTTTGTTTGTTACCAGACCCTTTCGATGTTAGAACCATCGAGCCGGTCGAAATGACTGGTTCCTGACTTTTTTCTTTTACAATTTCTGATGTAGAAATCGTATGAGGTTCTAGTAAATTAGGTACTCTTGTGTTGAACAATTTATTAATGCAAAAGAATAGCATGCGAAACGTTAGCCGCGATTAGGACTCGGTAGTTCTGGTTAATTATATTAGTAATTATATAAACGAAATAGAGGAGATCCAGAACAAAATAATGGTTACGGAGAACAAGATTTTACGACAGATTCGTATCTGGAATTGGTTAAATTTTATTTTAGTATTATTAGTATTTTTATTTAGTATTATTTTAGTATTATTTCGATATTCTTTCTTTGTTTGTGCACACGCGATTGCTATATCGTGTCTCCCTATTTGTTATTAATTCCTCTGTGACAAGCGATTTTCTTTTTACCTGTATACTTCAATAAATTATTATAATTATTATTGTTACTATTATTACCATTATAATTTATTAGTATTATTATTACTACTACTATTATCATTATCATTTATTAGTATTATTATTACTACTACTATTATTATTGATATCATTGTTATTTATTATTATTATTATTATTATTATTACTAGTACTATTATTATTGATATCATTATCATTTATTATTATTAGTATTATTATTACCACTACTATTATTATTGATATCATCATTATCGTCATAATTATTATTATTAAAATGCCTCAGGATGTTTCTAAAGAAATCAAAAGTGCTCGCTGAACTCGTTCGCCCCGTCTCGTCTCACAAAACCAAAAAGCAAACGTTTGCTCAGTTTCTCAGCGATTTCACTCGCGATATAACGCCCGATGAAACAAACTTATCGAATAAATTCCCCGCGAATGCATCCGTTCGATTTCAATAAACCTAGATAGAAAAATTTCGCGCACGTCATTGCGACGCGCACGGCAACCCTGACCTCAAGGAACGAAGAAGCAGCAGCATAACATAAATCCGTTAACGTTGATCCAGCGATCAACAGTTTCGCGCCGAGCGTCGCCTGCGCGTCCTGTGCGAAAATCAATTTTTAAATCCGGCTGAATAATTGAGCGACGACGGTGCAACGTCGTCGCGCTAAAATATTCAAGCATTTTACTTGTCGCGCGGCGATTTCGCGCGCGTATACGCGCATTAATATCTAATATTTATCAAAATATAAAATGGTCCTCGTCGATATCCTCGTCGCGGATGATATCGAGCAGAGATTAGCGCGAGCTGGCGTAGAGGCGAAAGATAGATAGATAGATGGAGGCCCGTGGTAGGTGGTTATATTGCGACGGGAACCGCGCTGATGAAACTGCGCCCCGTCCATGCGAAGGGTGCACGCCCCCGAGCGACGCGAGGCGCGGCGACGTGATCGAACGGAAATCCGATATGTACGTACGAGAAAGGTGACGCTCCGTTCGCAATTGGCCCGGGATAATCGAAAGAATCGCCGTGCCGGAAAAGTTGTTCGCTTCCTCGTTCCGAGGAGGAGCAGCAACTCCCGGCCGCGTCGTGGAAACACCGCGCCGCGGGGATAATTGGGCTAATTGCGAGCGCGCTTCAATTCACCCGCGCGGCGCATAATGGCTATCTAATTAGGCGGCGCAATTGCTAGAACGCAAACCGACGGTGCCAGAAATTCGTGCGTTTCGACGGCCGCTTTTACGATTGAAAAAACGCCATCGACGCGTCGCGTCGCGTCGCCACGCCACGGATTTTCCTCTCGTCCGAAGCGGAATCGGCGAGCGGATGGTTAATCGTCGATGCAGTTGGTCGTCGCGAGCCGATAATTGCCGAGCGAAATCGCGGCGACGTTATTGGGAACGGAGAAACGCCGAGGAATTATCTCACCCTTGAACTCTCGTCGTCGCGCTCTTCTCTGTCTTTTTGCCAGAGTTTTCTTCCCCCTCCCCCGCCGTCCTTTGCCTCTTCTTCTCCTTTTCTGTCTTTCTCGCTCGATATATATCTCTCTCTGTCCCGCGTCCGACTTGTTAAAGTTATTATCGCTTCCTATCTCGCCGGGAAAACTCATCGTTCTCATCCGCGTTTCGGCCCCGTTCTCTCCGCGTTTCGCGCCGTTCATATTTTATCCGGATTTAATCGCGACGTCGCGTGCGGTCTCCGTGCCGAGCCCGCGATTTGCCTGGTTCGACGAGTCGACGGAACGAGTCGGCGGCGAAATTACCGGTTTATTATATTCCAGAAAAATTACTCGCTCGTGCCCGCGCGCAGATCTTATCGTTCCGCCGGCACGAATGAAGTCATTTGGCTCCGTTACGTTCGTCGAATGCACACCGCCGCGAAAAAGATTTCGCGGGCACCTTTTACTGATTGTGTGTACCGTCGAGGATCTCTCGCCGCGCCTTGTGCGCGCCGATATCGCAGAATTGTAGCCAATGCGATTGCCAAATGTATTTATTTGACGGGCAATGTCTTTTGGAGTGTAATAATACAAATAGTAACGAGAATAATAAAGATAATTACAAGAATAGTAAAAGTAATAACGAGGATAATAAGAATAGTAACAAGAATATATATTCTTATATATTCTTATATATTATATATTAATATCACGGCGGAAATTAATGAAATTAATTGCATTAACTCTTTGCACTCGAAGCTATTTTAACTGTAAATATAAGATCATTTTTCTAACTGATAGTATTTTTATTTTATATTACAGAATGCATTTTACGCGTATGAAATTGACTGTTGGAACCCACGCAACAGTTACACTCTTAACAATTTTGTAAATCTAAACTAAGTTAATATCAAAATTATCGTGAAAGGTGATATAGCAAATATTAGCGTTGCCTCAGAGTCGCCACTCGAGAGAGAGTGCAAAGGGTTAATAAATTAATAATTCTCGCGGAGAGCTACCTACAGTTCTCTCTTTTTTAAATCTAAACTTTTTTTAATATGAAAATTATCTTAAAACGTGACGTAACAAATATTTGGTGGTGCCTCAGAATCACCGCTCGAGTGCAAAGAGAGTTAATAAATTAATAATTCTCGCGGAGAGCTAGCTATAGTTCTCAAATCGAGACGAAAATTGCTGAAATCGCCGACAAAATTACACAATATTTCTTGCAATATCGACCGAAGTTCGCGATCATTTAATAAAATTAAGCACATTTTATGCACTTACGGTAAAATCGGATAGCTGCAATTTCAAACAGCGCAACAATCGAAAGCATCCTGGAACGTCGTCGTATTACTGTTTAATCCATTAAGATCGTTAAGAGAAGAACAAAATTGCCGCTTGGTTTCTATCCTTCGCGATCGATGCAGACGATTTTTACTTCGCCCAAAAAGACCGCCGCGGTCCAGCGACCATCCCACTGATGCAATTTTGTCGACCGTAAACGGTACGATGGATTGCCCGCGCAAGAACCACGATTAAACCCCCCATGGGCGAGCGAGACACGGGATCGGGTTGGAAAAGTGTAGCGATTTCGGTTCCGTTTACGCTCAACGTCCGTTCAACGTCCATTTAACGTCCTATCAAGCTAATCACCGGCGGTGTTCCTTCCGCAGGGCCAGAGTGAAGTCCGGCGTGAAGGTCCTCGGAGCCTCGCCGAGCAGCCCGAATTGGACGCTGGAGATCGACATAAACACGAAGAACACGATCGCCCTGTTCGTCGCGAGGCGAAAGGACAGCGCGCCCCGAGTACCAAACGCGTAAGTACGTCACAATTTTGCCGAGGGGGACTTTTATTACACGAGCGCGGGAGAATCGGCGGCTCGTTCGTCCGTGGATTCCGCGGGAGGTCGGGGAGACTGGGAACGACTTGGGAAGCGGGGCAAAGAAAGCGCCAGAAGATCCGTGTGCGTACTCCCGCTTTATTACGTCAATCCGTGAAAAAACCGGCGGACGTGACGTCTGCTCGGATACATGCGGGCCCTGGTCGTGAAACGGCTGCGGGAGCACCCGACGGAATGCTCGTCGACGAAATATATATCGATGCGCCTGACACACGTGACACCGCGATCGTCGAAGATTCGCGTGCGAGGGGCCTTGATCCGTAGTCGATACGAAACGATTATGGTCGCGGTTTTAGCTACTTTGCTCCTTCAGAACCTAATGTGCTTAATTCGAACGAAAGATCCGGCAGAAAGGATCGCGTGCAAGATGATCGCGTTCTTTCTAAATTTTAGTTACTGTTGTTTAGTTTGCTGTTGCCTCGGCTGCTGTCTAGAGCCCGATCTGGGCCTTCTTGTGCTCCTTGCTGGCCGAGCTGCTCATCGATTCCTTGGGCGGCTGGTCTTCCACGGATCTTAGGGTCCTCTTCTCGGGAAGCTGATTCTTCTTCTCTTCCGAAGATGAAGAGCTGCTAGAATCTTTGCCAGGCTCATTGCCTGTTAATCTCGGTAATCTTTGCTTGGGTGACATCTTTTCCTCGGAGGAGGAACTGTGAGCATCTTCCGCCGATCTTGGGGTCCTCTTGTCCAGAATTATGATCGTCTCTTCCGAGGACGAAGAGCTGCTAGAATCTTGTCCAGGCTTACCTCCTACTAACCTTGGTATTCTGTGCTTGGGCGACATCTTTTCCTCGGAGGATGAACTGTGAGCATCTTCCGCTGATCTTGGAGTCCTCTTGTCGGGAAACTGCTTCCTCATCTCCTCCGAGGACGAAGAGCTGCTAGAATCTTGTCCAGGCTTACCTCCTACTAACCTTGGTATTCTGTGCTTGGGCGACATCTTTTCCTCCGACGAAGAACTATGAGCATCTTCCGCGGATCTTGGAGTCCTCTTATCGGGAAACTGCTTCCTCATCTCCTCCGAGGACGAAGAGCTACTAGAATCTTGTCCAGGCTTACCTCCTACTAACCTTGGTATTCTGTGCTTGGGCGACATCTTTTCCTCGGAGGATGAACTGTGAGCATCTTCCGCGGATCTTGGAGTCCTCTTGTCGGGAAGCCTCTTCCTCATCTCCTCCGAGGACGAAGAGCTGCTAGAATCTTGTCCAGGCTTATCTCCTACCAATCTTGGTATTCTGTGCTTGGGCGACATCTTTTCCTCCGACGAAGAACTATGAGCATCTTCCGCGGATCTTGGAGTCCTCTTGTCGGGAAGCCTCTTCCTCATCTCCTCCGAGGACGAAGAGCTACTAGAATCTTGTCCAGGCTTATCTCCTACTAATCTTGGTATTCTGTGCTTGGGCGACATCTTTTCCTCCGACGAAGAACTATGAGCATCTTCCGCGGATCTTGGTGTCCTCTTGTCGGGAAACCTCTTCCTCATCTCCTCCGACGATGAGGACGAGCTGTCATTGTCAGGCTGAGCCTGCCGCCTCCTGCGGTATTTAACTCCTTTACACCCGTTGTCCCCACAATCTATCCTGTTCTCCTTTTTGTCGTCGTCGTCACTATCGTCGTCGTCGTCGCTGTCATCGTTCCCGCACTTGCCCTTCTTTTTCTTGTGCCTCTTCTTGCACTTATCATCGTCACTGTCGTCGCTGTCGTCGCTGTCGTCGTCCTTGCACTTGCTCTTCCTGTGCTTCTTCTTCTTGCACTTATCGTCGTCGCTGTCGTCGCTGTCGTCGCTATCGTCGTCCTTGCACTTGCCATTCTTCTTCTTCTTGCCACACTTATCATCGTCGTCGCTGTCGTCGTCGTCGCTGTCGTCGCCATTCTTCTGACACTTGCTCTTCTTCTTTTTGTCATCGTCGTCGTCGTCGCTCGAAGAACTGCTGCTGCTGCTGCTGCTGCTGCTGCTGCTACTGCTGCTACTGCTGCTGCTGCTGCTGCTGCTGTCGTCATCCTTCTTCTTCTTGGTGTAACGAGCCGTTCGTTTCAGCAGCTCTTCCTCTTGCCTGTCGAAGAACTCGTCCAGATCCTCTATCCTCACGGTGTTCTTTCCGCCGGTCGCCATCGCGCCGTGCGACTCGTCGAACGATTTTCTCGATTCCTCGCCGAAAGGGTTAGAGACGTCCTTCGGCGTCTCCACGCGTTCGCTCGGCATCAAGACGTTCGCCCCGACATCCGGCTGGTTCTCCTTGTCCGACAGCTTCAGGAAATTCTGATTCGAGCTCGAATCGATCAGCGGGTGCGCCTCGGTGTAGATCACCGAGAAAGCCGCACAGGAAATTATTATTGCCGCGCTGGCGCGCATTCTGGGTCTTCTCGTAAACGAACTCTCTTTTTCTTATTCTCTCTCTCTCTTTCTCTCTGGAGCGCGCCCGTTCGATACGTCGATATCGAATTCGTCGTCGCGACCGGCCGCCGCGCTTTTATAGCCGCGAACTTCGATCGCGATCGATAGAGATCCGTGGCCAGGGGTGCTCACGCTCCCGTCGGATGCTGATGGATCGCCGCGCGCAGACAATGATTACGCCGCCTATTGGGTTAGCCGGAAAATTGCGCGGCGATCCTTCTTAACGTCGTTCCAGCGCGGAATTGGCTCTGTCCTCGGCCCGACCCTTTTCTAATCTCGGCGGAGCCCGCGCGATCCTGATAGCGAGACAAACACCGCGCTCTTTTTACTACCCCTTTTAACTCGGTTACCTTCCACTCGAACCTTTCTCATCTCTCTTTCTCTCTCCCTCTCTCTCTCTCTCTCTCTCTCTCTCTCTCTCGTTCTATCTCGCTCTCGCTCGCTCGCTTTTTCTTTCTCTCTGTTTTTCTGGGTCGAGCCAGTGTTGCTCGAAATAATTGCAAACAGTTAATTGTCCTCCAAAAAACAGAGGCCGCGTATACATCGGAGCCGGAGGAGCCGGTGGTGGCCGTCTCATTTAACCCACTCGTCCCGTTCTTTCGCCGTTCGAGAATTCTCCACGGTTTGTTTCCCGAACGGCGCGGCTCCTTCCCGTCGTTTTGCTCCCCGTTTACGCGCGACGTCACAGTTTATCGGATCAGACAATTTTCCCGAGGGTCGCATCCGGGCTCGGTTGTCCTCGCGAAACGAAGGAATCGATTCTCTCTCTCTCTCTCTCTCTGTATATGTATATATATATGCGAACCAATTCACCGAGCTGCGACATAATCCGCGATTCGAGATTCGAAAAGCCGCGCAGCACGCCCGAGGCTGTTCTAGGGTGGGAAAGGGGTGGCGTATGCAAACGACACCGTAAACGAACGCCGGGAAAGCCGGGGAAGACGCGAGGAAGATTTTATCCGGCACGTTCGTTTCGGTGGCCCGCGCGGAAAAAGTAAAAGTACCGCGTGAGTACCACTGTATCGCCGAAGTCGTTATCGCTGCTAACCCTGCGATGCTCCGGTTCGATTTCTCTCTCTCTCTCTCTCTTTCTCTCTCTCGGTGATCTTTGTCTCTCTTTCTCTCTCTCGGTGATCTCTGTCTCTCTTTCTCTCTCTCGGTGATCTCTGTCTCTCTTTTTCTCTCTCGATGATCTGTGTCTCTCTTTGTCTCTCTCGGTGATCTTTGTTTCTCTCGGTGATCTCTGTCTCTCTTTCTCTCTCTCGATGATCTCTGTCTCTCTTTTTCTTTCTCTCGGTGATCTCTGTCTCTTTTTGTCTCTCTCGGTGATCTCTGTCTCTCTCTCTCCCTCTGGCTCTCTCTCTGTCTGTCTCTCTTCTCTGGCTCTCTCTGTCTCTCTTCGATTCGCTTTGCACTCCTCCAGCCTCTTTTTCCGCGAATCGCGCGGAATCGGTGGAGCTGATTAGCAGGGTGTTTCTCGGACCATCGATCGCAAAAATAGGCTGCGTCGAGACCTATGCTCCCGATAATCGTTCATCCGAAGATCTTCGTTATCCTCCCGACGATTCGGCGGCTTCCTTTCCTTCTTCCTCCTCGCGCTTTCCTCGTTCTCTTATCAGCGTATTGCGAACTATTTGCGTGTTACAGCGACGCATGCCAAACCTTCGGCATCGCTGATCGCGCAGTTTCGAATATTCTCTTCGCAAACAGTTCCGATATACGCGGCCGATACATCGGCGAACAAAGGCTCGCCTCTTACGTCGCGCGACCTACATCGGTTTTTTGATTTTTCTAGGATTTAAGGAATCGCGCGTTGACTTTCGTTTTCGTGTCTATTCTTCGGCTTCTCTCGATCTCTTGTCCCGAGCGTTTCTCGGCGCAGATTATTATTAAATCGAGGGAGCTGGTCATTTGGCACGCATCTTGGTCGATTGCGGGGTTCCGGGAAATCGATTTGTTAAATAGTATATACGATGGGTAAATCGATTATCGGAATTCAGAATTGATAGTTAGTTCGGTTTTATTTTCGATGAATTGTTGATGCGATAGCGCGAGGTGATGGGTCGAGGTTTAATCGAGGTCCTTCTATTGTATTTGTCGCAATTCGTTGGAATAATCGAAGATCGAAATAATTTCATTTAGTCTAACTTAATTCAATTTGATTTAATTTGATTTAATTTATTTAGATGTATATATATTATTTATTTATTTATATATATTATATATTATTTATTTATTTAGATTCTAACTTAATTCAATTTAATTTGATTTTATTTATTTAGATGTACGGATAAAAACCTATTTTTTTAGAACGCAGAACTAGAAGCTAATACTAATGTAATACAGAATCTGCGAATCAGCGATTTAGGCGAACAGTTTATGTAAACTGTGTAATAAAGAACGAGGAAAATTCAATTCGCTTAATCGAGATTCCGCTGTAGATTGTAAATATTTTCATCTTCTCGCGTAATACAGAACTTGGCGAACGAACTTTTTTCTTTTTTTTGAAATAATAATTACACGTGGATATTACGCAATTAAATACGTATTTGAAATGCTATTTCCATATGTAAATATCATTTCGAAAAGCGTTTAATTGCCAGACGCGTGGTATCGCGCGAGAAGATCGAAATATTTACAATCTGTTTGCTATTTCAGAGGTCTATTTTTCGCCGGTCCCGTTCGATTGCTTCTAAAAATGGGACGGAGATCGTGACGACTTCGAAACTTGCTTTATTGACAGGCGACGAAACGACGACGATATGTTATTTATCCTTCGTAAGTGTGCGTGTCAATTCTGTCGAGTAAATGACATAACGTCATTATATCGATTTCTACTTTTCATTCTATTGACAATTTATTATTAGTTTGTTAGTAGACGATCCGATGTTAAATAACGTACAACATTATCAGATATGTAAATTCCTGTAGCAACAACATCAATTTTGCAATTTACAATATGTATTTTCGAATTAAATCACTGTTTGCTTTATACTCTGCAAACTAAAGGGTATTTTGCTCGTTCGATTAATAAATAATAATGGTAAACATTGTGTGTGGCTTTCAGACGATAGCAACTGTGGTTTAGATTTCGCAGATGGTTATTACAATACTTTTTATTATTGTAATACTTTCTATTGATATAATACTTTTGACTTATCTTAACACTTATTCTATTATTATATTACTTTGGAGATTAAATGTGGTTATTACAATACTTTCTATTAATATAATACTTTCGACTTATTTTAATATCGATTCCATCATTATAAAATTACTTAAAATTATTATATTATCATTATTATAAATTCTATTATTATTCCATTACTAAAATACTCAACATTTCCAGTTTTCAAACAATTAGCGACATATGGATTTTGCCAAAAACAATTACACTGCACAACGACATAAAACAATTACAATTACAATACACAAAACAATCTCGTCTCTAATTCCAGTCCGATTTCCTAAAAAAAGAAAAATCGATCACTGCGCGTCGGTGAACCTCTGAATTTCACTTCGATATCGCGGCACCCACGTCAGCTCGCAGTCCCGCATCTCCACATCTTCTATCCCGCGGAACGATTATCATATTTTCTGTTGCTCGAAACGCGCCGGATTACGAACGGACGGTCGACGAGCGATTTTCTCGCGCGAGATACGCGAACAATGGGCGCCGGTGTGCGCGGCGCTTAAAGCGCGAATCTATCGACTCGAGAATTACCGGTGTGTCCCCGCGGCTAATTTTATTCCAGCATCCTTTCGCTTCTATTTCCCTTCGATCCGGTTCCATTTTCGTCGGGCGTCTACGTCGCGCCGGACGCCGCCCGCCGCGCCTCTCTCCCAAGCCCCCGGGATTCCTTTCTCCGGGAAGCGTCGAAAAATTCCCGGTTTAATTCCGTTCGGTCTCTCTCCCCTTCGATCCACGGATCGCGTCTCGATCAGTTCGGAAACGGGATTGGGCAACCGGAGGCTGCCGCGATAACACGTTCCGCGTACGCGGAAAGCCTCGCGAACCAGGAAAACGAACTCTCGTTTCGTCTAAACACCGCGCGGCGACGAATTATCTTTCTCCCTTTGCTCTCTGGGAATTTCCATCGCGATGCGCCGAGCCGCGTCGAATTTCCCGTCTCGGATCTCGAGATTTCTTCTGATCCATCCACCCTGCCGCCACCCCCGATTCCTCCGGATCCTCGAGCTCGCCTCGTGAAAGGAAGCCAGACGCGTGCTACCCTTCAATCTCATCGGGGAACCGTCTGCGAACACGATCGCGTCTCGTCCCGTAAATCCGGCTGTAACGGCCGTCCATTTCGCCGGGATCTCTCTCTCTCTCTCTCTCTCTCTCTCTCTCTCTCTCTCTCTCTCTCGTTCACGCCCAACCGCGGACCCGGCATAACGACCTGACCCACGGGGTCGTCGTCGTTGCGTTTCCACGTAACGCCCGGTCTCGCAGCGCCCCGCGGCACCCCGTAGCGCAACGCCGTGTGCCGCATGCCGTTACGTAACCCCGGCCATTTGTGAACTACAAACACCCCCATCGTCTCCGCTAACTGTTCAAATTCTCGTCAGCTGCTCGAACCCGCCGGCAAACTCTGGACGCGACGGCGCGGCGCGGTGCGGCGCGGCGAGACGCGATGCGGCGGTTTAGCCCGCCGATTACCCGGCAACTCCCCATAGAAAACAAAAGAGCCGGGAGACACCCCCGCAATCCTCCCGATCTATTCTCGCTGCAAAGATCGGCCAGCTATCGACCCGGCTGCGCACCGTCCAATCGCTGCGCCAAGCAGAGTTCGTTTTCTTTGTTTTTCTTTTTTTATTTCGAACGCCGGCTTCAACCGCTAATCGACTTGATCGGGGTTATAGAGCGAGCCGCGTTTTCCTTGTTGCGAGAGGAAATGGGAAGTGTTATTGTTTACTACGGAATTTTGCGAGCAGTCGAGGATAGATTATCACAGCAATGTCTCCCTAATTGACGCTCAGATTGCGCACGAAAATGGACAATTTGGAGAGAGGAGGTGCGATTGTTCGAGCCTTGCGGTTTATTTTTATAGTTATATATTGTCCACAATTATAAGATCGAGCTTCAAGGCTCGAATAATCGTGTACCCTCTTCCCAAATCTGGGCGTCAGTAAGGGAGACATTGCTGTACAGTAATGTCTCTCCAATTGACGCCCAGATCGCGCACAAAAATAGACAATTTGCGTTTACGTATCCCCTCCCCACCCACTTATCAGCTGCCCCACTGCCGCAGCTATCGGTCGCTATTGACGCACGACGATCTCCGTCACAGTTTTCGGAAAATGGCGACCCATACCTGCGGCAGAGGGGGCGCTAGAGGAGCTAGAAAGAGGGGGAATGTGAACAGAGAGCTGCGAGCTTCTTGTCGCGCGAGGACTATACATAATCGTCAACGTTTCCACAAATGCGACTCACGTCGCTACGATTCGAACGCGCTCAATTATCGGGAACCTCGAGGTTTCTTCTCCGCGAGTCTCAAAGATATCTCGGAATTGATTCGCCGAGCTAATGATAGAAACATTCGGTGGACCATAAGAGTCCTGTTGGATCGAATTGCATTTCCCCGGAATCTGGTCTTTCCGCGAGCCATCTGCTCGTATCAGACAGCATCGTCCGACCGCGGGGATAGTCGAATGACCAATCTAGGGCCGCGAAATCGACCCTGTCCCCGCATCGGGCGCGAATGAAGTACGTACGTATCCGGCATCCAGTTTCCACGGGAATGAAGCAATTTGCCGCGATGGAAACGAAGGGTCGGCACGTGTTTCTTCGGGGAGAGAGAGAGAGAGAGAGAGAGAGAGGGTCCGAGGGTCAGTGGGCTATAAGATCGTTGTGTTTCCCTGTACAGATCGGCGGAGGAGATCCTGACGATGCTTCTGGAGGCCAGCGAGGAGGGTGTCGAGGGGAACTGGGACGGCGGCCGCATCGTATGGGGCGTGCGTTACACCTTCGAGGACGACGAGGACGCCGGCTCGTCCCAATACAACGGGATGCGGGATCACCATCCCGAGAGACGGAAGCTGCAGGCGAGGTTCGAGATACAGAAGGACGACATACAGGCGGTCCTGCCCATCTCCAAGGTAAGATCGCCCCCGGCGATCCTAAACGTTAACCCCCTCGGCGATACGCGTGGGTCCATTCCCATCGAGCCGTTCGAGGGCTTCGTCCGACTTCTCCAGCTTCTGCTCGATTATTTCCATTAAGCCCAATTAGAGAAGCTCTATAACCGCATCTAGGACAATTTCAGCCGCGCCGAGGCCCCACCGTGAGAAGCTTTTAAAAAAATTGGTGATCGAGGGTCCGAACGGATCCAGCCGCACCAAATGGTCTTAGGAGCACTAAACCAAAAATAATCTAAATGGCTAGCAGCTGTTTCGTATCAGTTTGTAAACGTAACAATAACCTCTTGAAGCGACTACCAAGAGAAAAGTGTAACTGTTATAACAAATTAACGGTTTTAATGGACGTTAGAAGAATTCTGAAGATTTTGTACTTCGAGCCGCGATCTTATCGTACGGGCGTCGCCAAAAAGAAGCAAGATAAACCATGGTCAACCATGGTAAAAATCGCGTGCGCACGAACGCGGTCCCATTTTTTAACAGACCGTGGAAGGATAAGGGACAAGAGAAGGGTGCCGAGGGAAACGTGTTCCGAAAGGAGTCGCGAACGATGCTGGGACCAGTTCGGTGCATCCGTCGGCGGGTCTGCGTTTGCGATTCCGACGGATGGCGAAGGACGAGGGGTTGGCCGGGCATAATTTCGAACGGTTGTTCTCGGAGCGTGCCGGTCGAACGTATACGTGTCGAACGATTTTCATTCCCGCCAACTGTGCCGGCGGACGTGCGGAATTCCGCGACAGGATCGCGGCAGCCGTGGGAATAGAGGAATCCAGGTGGCCAATATCGCCGGTCCCTTGCAGGGACTGTCACGACTCACGGGCCAGCCGAACCCGAACCGAATCGTCCACCCACGCCCTTTCTTTCTTCCTTTCTCTCTTTCTCACTCTCTCTATCGAGATAGAGAGAGAGAGCTTTCTTTCTGGTTCTCTGGCTCTCTTGCTAGTTCTCTTTGGCTCTCTCTCTCTCTCTCTCTCTAGCTCTCTTTGGCTCTCTCTCTCTCTCTCGCTCTCTTTGGCTCTCTCTAGCTTTCCTTAGCTCTCCTTAGCTCTCTCTGGCTCTCTCTCTCTCTCTCTCTCTCTAGCTTTCTTTCTGACTCTCTGGCTCTCTCGCTAGCTTTCATTCTGGCTCTCTGGCTCTCTTTCTAGCTCCCCCTGGCTCTCGCTCTCTTTCTCTAGCTCTCTCTCTCTGGCTCTCTATGGCTCTCTCTGGCGCTTTCTGACGCTCTCTGGCTCTCCCTAGCTCTCCCTAGATCTCCCTAGCTCTCTCTGGCTCTCTCTCTCTCTCTCTCTCTCTCTCTGGCTCTCTGGCTCTCCCTAGCTTTCCCTAGCTCTCCCTAGATCTCTCTAGCTCTCCCTAGATCTCTCTAGCTCTCCCTAGCTCTTCTTAGCTCTCTCTGACTCTCTCCCTCTCTCTTTCTGGCTTTCCCTAGCTCTGTTTGGCTCATCCTAGCACTCCTTAGCTCTCTCTGGCTCTCCCTAGCACTCTCTAGCTCTCTCTCTTCCCTTTTCCAGCTCTCTCTCTCCCTCTCTCTCTCTCGCTCTCTAGCTCTCTCTCTGACTCTGGCACTCCCTCTCTCTCTCTTTTTCTCTCTTTCTCTCTCTCTTCCTCTTCTTTCCTCTTTTTCTCTTTCTTTCCCGCCCTCTCCCCCTCGCCCCCTGTATCCCTTTATCTCACACCACATCCCTGTCCCCCCTGCCCCGTCCCCCTGTCTCCCCCTCGCTCCTCGAAATCTCTCGAAAAAGAATCCGCTAAGTTGCACGATAACCGGCCGGCAAATGCGCCGATCGATACCAGAGGCGAGAGCATAGTACGTGGCGCGAGCACGCGGCGCGAGAATCCGCTTCCAAGCTCGATCAACGATCCACCACCCGGTCTTTCCTCGCCCTGGAAACCGACCGAGGAAGGAAGGAAGGAAGGGAACGGGGGCCCCGAGCCACGCTTCTACGGCCAAACGACTCCGAGCCGCGTCAAAGGATAATGCCTTCCTACCGACGACAAAGCGACCGACGGGACGCGGTCAGCTACGGGGTGTCCCCGAATGATCGATACACCTTTGACGATAAAGCGCCGCGAGTAGATGGGGCAGAACCTCTTTCCGCCTGATCCCGTCCGTCCGCTGCACCCTACGACGCTCGTTGATGTTGACGTTTCGACAAATAAACGTCCGTTTAGACTCGCCGGCGTGCCGAGCGCCGGACCGCGTTGCGGAATCACGGTGTTCTATGCTTGCGCGTCTCGCGGAACGTGAAATGCATTTACACCCCGTCGTGTCGATACGAGAGTCGGTACGACGAGATTCGTTTTCCTCGACCCAACGATGTAACGGCGATCGAGCCGGAAGAAGGAAATTATGCTAACGCGATACCGTCCGGGCTGTTTGCGCGAGAACTTTCGCGCACGGTCGGTATATATACTGGGTGCTCCACAATTATTTTAACAGCCGAAAATGAGGGGTAGCTGAGGTCATTTGAAGTAACTTTTTCCTTTGCGGAAATGCGATCTGCGGCTTTGTTAACGAGTTATTAACGGAAAACACTGACCAATGAGAGGTGACTGCGCGAAGCTCGAGAGACCGCAGCACGAGGCTTTAACAGATGGTCGTAGGACGGACTCGAGCCGCGTTCGAAGTATTGAACAAATCACGAAGCGAGAACTTTCCGGATTTTTTTACTACGTAACAGTGATATTTTTCAGAAAAACACTGTTCACCTTTACTTTAGAACGTCTGAAGAATATTTACTAATTTTTCGGACACGAAATAGTAAGTAATTTATCCGTGACGGCCGTTTTACTTTTCTAGTGTGCATTACACCTTGACATGACCTTGACTTAACCTTGAGATAACCTTGATATGGCAAGGTTATGTTAAGGTCATGTCAAGGTTATGTTAAGGTCATGTCAAGGTTATGTCAAGGTCATGTCAAGGCGAACATATGAAATTTTTAAGATATGTCAAGGTTATTGATAATATTCTCCATATTTCTCTAACATATCCCTTACGTTCTTCAACACGATTATTATTTATTAAATTAGCTTTGCGAATCACTCGTTGAACCGTGCTCGGACGCGGAATTATTGACCCTGACATAACCTTGATATAACCTTGACATGACCTTAACGTGACCTTGACTTAACCTTGACATAACCTTGACATAACCTCTTCAATTATCTTTCTCGAATCATTTTCACCTACGATTCGTAACTAATGAATCCGTGGATCCTACAATCCACAGCTCGATGCATAAAATTTGTAGAAATAGCAACATTCATCCATTTCCCCTAAAGTCACAGAATCGTCTGGTCGCGTCGCGATCGGTGCATAGAAACGGGCACCCGGTAGATCCGGGCTGGTCTCCGCTGAATAAACAAATTCTATCCGCGAAAACGTTGGTTATTACGAAACATTAGAAAACACTCGGCCCCTCTGTTCCCGGAAGAGGTAGTCGCGTTAAGTTAACGTTCCCGGAGTGCAGCGAGTTGCATTTTCCATTCGGCCGAGATAAAGCTGCTCCCCGGAGCGGAGCGGAGCGGCGCGGGGCGGAACGGCGCGGCGCGCTGTTTTTACCCCGGGTCCGGCAGAGCGGTGCGACGCAGCCCGTAGTAATTTATTCGTTGCTCGGTTCTTCGGCCACGATTTCGTAAGCTCTCCGCGAAAATAGTTAATTGATTCTGTTCTTACGGTCCCCGGGACCCCGTTTATTCCTCCGCGACGGCGAACCGTGCCGCGCCGAGCCGAGAGCCGGCCGGCGGGGCAGCGTTTTCTCCGGAATCGATACACGCGCGGGACCATCTCGGGGGGAAGGGCGTGTTGATTAACGAATCGTTTAATTAATTCGTTTACATGTTCCTTCAGAGAAGTAGCAGGACGACGCTTTCTTGATCATCCCCGCTCTAATTGCCGTTCCTCCGTGGCGCCCGGGCCGCGGCCCGGGGCGGGGGGAGTTTTTAATTAAAAGACGGTCGCCCTGCTTTCCTCGTAAACCTCTCTCGTCCGGCTTAGCGCCAACATTGACACCGGGGTCTCGCCCCGCTGCCGAGATCCGCAAGCCGGGATTCGACCGGTGGCTTCCGCGCGACCGTTTAATCAGCGAGGAGAAAACATTTCGGCACCGGCCCCGTTTTATTCGCGGGCATAAATACCCCCGGGGGCAGGAGTATCATCGGCCACCGGCCGGGGAATTCCACTTGAACCCCCCGGAGCCCTTTGACCAGCGCCGGAGCGTCTTCGATAATGCATAGCTAAATCTCGTCGAGACTGCGAACCCACCCGGCTAAGTGGATCAGAGATCTCCCGATAAACTTCGCCGGTTCGGGCCGCTCGCTCGGATCTAACCCACGCCTAACGGGTAGCTAGCTAGCTCTCCTCGTGGCTCCCGGAATTCTCGAACGAAGTGTTCGAGAAGTGGCTTCGAGAGGCCTCGCCGCGGATTGCCCCGTAGGGCACCGCTTCTATCCGACCGGAGAGCAACTTGGCCACGCCTACCGGGCACTGTCGCCACACCATTCGCAGTGGATCTGATGTTGATACCTTTATACGGACTTTTAACTCTCAGCCAACTCAACGAACGTTTTAAATCTTCCCGTTTTATATTCTGTCGATCGATAACCGAATGGAGAAGTCTTTCACTTCTGATTTCTAAATGTTAGAAATGATTGCTTGATTTTAGTAAGATTTGCGAAAGGTGCGATTGTTGAAGAAGTAACAAAATTCCAGATCACGAAACTCCGGAAAATGAATTCTACTAGTCTCAGTAACTGGTCCAAAATTTTGCTATCGACCTAAGTGGTCCAGTTACTGAGACTAGTGGGATGGATTTCCGGACAGATGACAAAAATCCCGAAAATGAATTCTACTAGTCTCAGTAACTGGTCCACCTAGGTCTATAGCAAAATTTTGGACCAGTTACTGAGACTAGTAGAATTCATTTTCGGGATTTTTGGGATCTGTCCGGAAATCCATCCTACTAGTCTCAGTAACTGGTCCACTTCGGTCGATAACAAAATTTTGGACCAGTTACTGAGACTAGTAGAATTCATTTTCGGGATTTTTGGTATCTGTCCGGAAATAAATTCCACTAGTCTCAGTAACTGGTCCACCTAGTTCGATAGCAAAATTTTGGACCAGTTACTGAGACTAGTAGAATTGGTTTTCCTGATTTTTGGGATCTGTCCAGAAATCCATCCCACTAGTCTCAGTAACTGGTCCCCCTAGGTCCATAGCAAAATTTTGGACCAGTTACTGAGACTAGTAGGATGGATTTCCTGATAGATTGGGTTGCCAGTGTGGATCGATTTTTTGTAAATGTTATGATTACTTGTGCTAAAAATATCACTAAAATTAACAGTTTATTATAGTTTTTTATTATTATTCTTAAGTCTGTCTCCTATGCATCTGCAATGCATCTTAATGTTTCTAATTTCTTTGTGGTGTCTCTATCTCTGAGTCTCTAAAGCAAAGGCCACCAGTGATATACGCTTCCTCATAGAGTATCTACAGACTGTGCCAACGCGAGCGCACAAAGGCCAGTTCCGCTCATTGGCTCGGCCGTCTCGCGCCGAATGATCTCGCCTCTGATTGGTCACTGTTTTTCGTTAATAACTCGTAAACGAAGTCGCGGATCGCATTTTCGCTAAGGAAAAAGTTACTTGAAATGACCTCGAGAACCTCCCATTTCCGTATCGCGAAACATTTTTGGAATTCCCTGTACATCGACCCTATATAAAACCGAGCCGCGAGACTTGAAAAATCGTATCTCTTCTTCCCAAATCGTCCATTTCCGTGAGCAATCCGTCGGTCGAATTAGACAGAATTTACCGTGCAGCTTCGTTGCCCCGGATTCGTCACGATCCACGCCGAAAAGAACGAAGCCCGTCGTCCGGCAGCCGACGTCGAGAGAGCAGCTGCTGTCGGCCGGCTCGGCGGGTCCGTTTGAACGTCGCGCGAGCACAGAAGCACGCTCGCGGAGCCGGGAAGACGCGATGATTAATTCGAACGGAACGTTTGGTCGGACGAGTGATTGCGCCATCCGTGGAAATATCTAGGGCTCGATGTGTCGGCCGATCGCGGCGAAAGAAAGACGGCTATTCATAGCCGCGATCCTGGTCGCCGAGGCCTAGAATCCGCGCGGGGCAAAACCGCCGAAACGAGTCCGGGTTTCGCCTTCGGGAATCTCGGCCGGCGGCGATCCCCGATGGGAGGAAGGTTCTCCCTCCGGCGAATATGAAATCGGGGGTGGCCCGACGGACGGCGCCGCGCCGGCGGAAGGGGATTATTCGATCTGGGAGAAAGGGTGGACCGGCCCGAACGCGAAAGGCTCCGGCGGCGCTCGTCGGCGCCCTTTTAACGCGCCGCTAAGAACACGGGCGGGATCAGTCTCATCGATGAGAAAAGCGAGTCCGCCGCGAGATGCGGGCGTCCGTCCGCACGTACACGCCGGAAACGGGGTGGTGTCTGGGCGGACGGACGGAGAGAAGAGGAGGAGACGGCGGCTCTCTCGGGGTCAGAGATTTAAATTCCCTCGCTGCAATATCCGAGTCGTTTGATGTTTCCTTCCAAAGGGCAGACTGTACGGAAGCCAACTTGGAAATGGCTTCGTGCAACCGGCCCCGTGTCCCCCACCCCCGCGCACCCCTTTCGGGCCGTCCCCTTTTCTGCCGGCCGACCGGCAAAGTACACAGACGCGGACACACGCGAGCCAAGACTACACGGGGCAGCCGGCGCGTGGAATAACTTTCATACAGGACGTCGCGCGCGCGCGCGAGCACGCCGACACGGGCGCGAGACGGTCCGGCGATTCCCGCAGGCCTCCGCCGGCAGCAGGCCCTTTAGAACCCTTTCCTCGGGCAGAGTTCGCGACCGGTCGCGAAACTTTTCCGGCGCCGTGCCCTCTCCCCGGCTGCAAACAAAAGCGCCGGGCGATGAGGAACGATCGCATCGCGCCTTCGAATCGAGCCCAGCCACTGTCCCTCCTCCCTCCCCCCATGGAACGGAGCTCGAGCGTTTTAACGAGCCCCGCGACAAAGGACCACGATTTAATCGAGTTCTCCGCGTCTCTCTCTCTCTCTCTGTTCCCGGCTGTCCCGCAGAACTGGGAGGTGATGAACACCGCGGTGCTCACCGGCCGCCAAGTGTCCCAGGGAATGAAGGTGTTCATCGTGAGCCAGGCAGGATCCGTCGCGGACGTCACGCTGCAGTCTTCCTGCCACTCGGAAGACGAGAGTGTGCTCAAGGTACGCGTCCATCTTCCCGGAACTCTTGTGTCTCGTAAGAAATTGCTTGGTCGTAGATGACTTTCGTTTCTTTATCGGATATTTGTTTTGTTTCTTCTTCTTTTTTTTGGTTTCTTTATTTTATTTATCTCGAAACATTGTCTATTTAGCGGAAGCAAAAGCTCGTTTGTCCCGTCTGCATCGGAAGTAACTTGTGGCTCGTCTGAATGTGCGACGTAATGCCGCTTGTGCGATGCCACGTGTGTTATCCCGCGGCGTGATGCCGTTCGTGCGGTGCCACGCACCTGGAAACACGCTTTAATCCGAGAGCTTTAATTCGAATAAATTTGGTTCCATTGACATGATATAGAAGCAAGCTAAGTGGCCACAGACGGAGGAAAAACGGAAGCGCGTGTTTAATGGTCCGCGGCACCGCACGAACGGTATTGCTGATGCGGGATAATGCATCGGTGGCACCGCATAAGCGGCATTACGTCGCGAGATTCATCCGTGGCACCGCATAAGCGGCATTGCGTCGCGAGATTCATCCGTGGCACCGCACAAGCGGCATTACGTCGCGATATAGCGCATCCGTGGCACCGCGCAAGCGGCATTACTTCGCGAGATAACGCATTCGTGGTACCGCGCAAGCGGCATTATATCGCAAGATATCTCGTCTGTGACCTTATACGAACAGTATCGCCGTCGCGACATGACACGTCAGAAAGAGTGAGAGTGAGAGTGAGAGTGAGAGAGAGAGAGAGAGAGAGAGCGAGCGAAGCAATTAATAGTACGCAAACGAATCTCACACCGGTGAGATAAACAAAAATAAGCAAAAACCAATGTCTCAATCGTGGCCTCCAGGTATCGTCGTCCTGCAGCAGCGTGTACGTGGACGGCACGGAGATCCGCGGTTCCAGCAACGCGTCCGTTCTGGTGAAGTACGGCACGTACTCCGGCCTGGCGAAGTTCACAGTATGGATGCCGGAGTTCCCTCTGGCGATCACCGTGGAGGACACCAGGCTGAGCCAGATCAAAGGCTGGAAGGTGCCGGAGGAGCACGTGGCCAGCGCGAAGAGCAAACGTAGCCTGAACGCGACGAGCCCGAGGTTGGCCGCCGACTCGGCGAAGACGAAGAAGCGAAGCGCGGCGGACCTCGACGACTCGATAGACGACACGTCGATGGACGTGGAGGACGCGGACGTGATTTTGGAGGAGGACGACCAGGACGACAGGTTCCGCGGCAACGATCCCGGATGGGACACGATCAACTCGATCGAGCGTGGCGGCTCGACGATGTGCCGGCTGCGGTTCCAGCAGAGCCCGGTCGAGGTCCACGCGAGGTTCCTAGCCACCGATCACGATTCCGGGAGAGTCTCGTACTTCGTGAACCGTAGAACCTGGCTGAGAGTGACCGACCTGGTGATGGGGATGCTGCGGGTCTCCGATCCGAGAATAGCCACCCTCCTGCAGGGGAGGATCGTCCAAGGCCGCGGCGTAGGTATAACGGAGGTGCAGGTGCTGTCGCCGATCACCGGCAGGATCATCGGAGCGAAGGAAGTGAAGGTCGGGAACGTCCGTGTGGCGGTTACCAGGTTGTCGGTCAGGGTTGTGTCCGGTCTGCAGCTCACCATCAATCCCGACACCGCGATAGAGAACGGATACGTCGCCGAGACCTCTGTCACGAGAAGACTGACCGCCAAGTATCAGGTAAAGACAACCGTTTCTTCGCCGGTTCAAAGACGGAGACAAGATCGTTGACCGTGTCGTCCTGATTTCAGGAGGGTCTGCTGGACATAGACGTGGAATTCTCGGACGGGACCAGGACCCCGCTGCGAGAGATCGCCGTGACCGATTACCATCTGTCGGTGGAGAGCCTGGACCCGGAAGTGGTCGCTTTCGCGCCGATGGTCGCGTCCCATCATCCCCGGGTGATCGCGGTGGGCGAGGGTCGGGGCGATCTGCTGCGGGTGAAGCTGCAGTTGGCGGACGCCTGCCGGCTGGGCAGCAGGAGGTCCGGCAAAGGATCGCAAAGGACGACCACGTCCGCTCTGGCGAGCGCCTCGGCGAACGTCGAGGTCGACTTCGCCTCGAGCGAGCTGCCGAATCGACCCGACTTCGTGCAGAACGACGGCGGCGGGACAGTGGGCTCGCACCATCACAGGGAGAGGAAGACCAACAGGGGGGAATCGGAGCCAGATACGCGCGACAGTTTCTTGGGTAAATAGACCCTGTTCCCGTCTCTGTGTCGCATTGATCTGTCGCTTGCCAGCACGCTTCTCTCTTGTGTTCTGTTTCTGCGTTCGGCTGGCACCCGTCGTCGTCCCCTTGCTCTCCGTCGGCTCGGTCGACGTCGACGTCCTCCCCCGCAGTCGATCCGAAGGCGTCGCGCGGGAAGGATCAGTCAACCCGACAGACCTCTTGCTTCTCTATCCCGCTTCGCTCGTCCCCGCCCGTTCTCTTCTCGCGCACCGTTTCCTCCTCTCTAGTCAGCCCCTAGACCCCGTCGCTTTCCGCCCGTCGTCCGGGACACCCAAGATTATTATTACCCTCCCCCGCCCCGCATGTCGGTCGTCTCGCTTTCTGCAGCCAGCTGGTCGCGCGGAGGGATAGCAGCTTCGGGGAGCTCTCTTTCACGTTCCGTTCACTCACGACCGACGTTTCTCACTCTTCTCCTCTCTCTTTCTGTCTCTTTGTTTTCTGTGCAAAGGGCTACCGCTGAAAGACGAGAACGGGCACGAGCCTTTGGTGCAGGCACGCCAGCACCGCACGGCTATAGCTAATGGCATGTCTTCAGGAGGAATGGGCGGCGTCGGTATACGGCACCACGGCGGGGCGCGCATGAGCCCACTCGAGATCGGGATGTACGTTCTCCTGGCGGCCTTCTGTTTCGCGATCGTCGTCTTCGTCGTCTCCTGCGTGGTCTACACCAGCAAGTTCAAGCCCCAGCCGCCGGACTCGCCGCTCGCCGGCGATGCTCTGCGGCCGCCGGTCATCTTCGGCGCGGCTAAGGCGAGAGCGGCCGCCAACCAGCTGGCATCCGGACGACGACCGCCCAGAGAATCGACCACGAACGCCCACGACTGGGTCTGGCTGGGACGGGCGACCCTCGAGAGGGCTGCTTGCGGACCTCAACAGGTAGGACACGATCGTCCAGGTACGATTTCGAAGTGCCCGGGGAACGCGGCTGTGTTCGTCCACGATGAAAGAAGCATCGACAAGCCTCCGACAATAACCGTTTCGAACGTGTCGGCTCCGACCGAAATAATCGTGGAGAGAACGGATAAAGTCTCGTGTCTGTTACCTAGGTGTATCGGTTCTGTCTTATGTTGGTTCTATAGCCGTTGTTTCTCGGTTCTGCTCTTATAGTTGTATCATACATAATAAAATACATTGTGCAGGGTCCTTTCGAACCAAACAATTTGTTCCTCAAGCATTTCCGCGTATCATTAACGATATAATACTTTCCGTATAATATATATTAATGTAATAATAATAATAATAATAATAATAATAATAATAGTAATAATAGTAATAATAATAATAATAATAATAATAATAATAATAACAATGTAATAATGTAATATAATGTATAATACTGTATAATACTTTCCGGTTCTCCGCGAAAGTCTCATGAACCAAAACCGGCAACTGTTTCCAACCCCTGATAGAAGCCTACCCCCTGATGTAATCCCCCAGCGAGAGCAGCCTGAGCATCCGTTATCGTTGCAGGTACGGGTGACCAGCAATCCTCTGGCGAACGAAACCGACGGCGACAAGAGCGAGCTGGCGACTTGCTTCGACAACCCGAACCACATCGAGCTTCCTTCCACGGGTCAGCGGAACAACAGCTCCGGGCCGATCGACAGCACCACTTACTGCAAAAGGGACAAGCTTCCGAGGAACAGCTTCGTCGCGAAGTCCGCGGCGAGGCCGTCGAACGCGGTGACAGCGACCACGGTGACCACCCCCGCCTCCATGGCCACGTCGACCGTCACCACGTCGCGAAACGAGTAAATCTTGCTGTGAAGTATCAGAGCGTGTCGCTCGCGAAGGACGGTGATCTAACCGGCGGCGATCGTTTCAGCAACGACGACATTCCGCCGCCCCTGCCGCCGCACGGGGTTCCGGTCTCGACGGGCGTGAACACCGCCGCCGCGACGATCGCGACCTCGACGAACAACAACGGCAACGAGGACTACAAGCCGCCGGTGCCGCCGCACAGGAACACCGGGGTGATCGTGCGGCTGCCGGAGACACCGAGGAAGCACCGGCACAGGGCGTCGAGCGGCAGCGCGGCCGGCAGCCATCACGGGAACAACCAGCGGCACAGCAAACAGATCCAGCAGCATATCAAGTCGTCGCACGGTAAAGCTAGAGTAGGTAACCCGAAGGAGAACGCCGCGGAGGAGGAGGAGTTCGTCGAGCTGGTGACCCACGACGACAACAGGCACTCGAAGGAGGCGAGAGCCAGAGAGGTGAAGAGGGCGACGATCGTCGGTAATCCAATGTTCTTGTCGTTCTCGAGCGCGGGGGTGTCGTCGTCGGTGAACGTGTCCACCCCGACCGTGGACTCATCGTCCTCGTCGCCGCCCAACTCGTCGCCGTCCGCGTCGTCCGGATCCTCGTCCTCCTCCTCCTCGTCCTCCTCGTCCGGCTCCTCGTCCCAGGAGCAGGAAGAGTCGGTGGCGCTGGACGACCTGAATCTCGGCATGGACTACAACCAGATCATGCAGTACTTCGACAACCTGAAGGAGTCGAACGCCTAGGTGAAGGCGCCCGGCCTTCGAGAAGGCCGAGAGTAGTCAACGTCGATACGAAACGGCCGGGACACGCGGTTCCCGCATCGCGCCGCGCCGCAACGCGCCACGCCGCGGAAACACTCGGCGGCCGAGCTCGCGCGCCACGTTCTCCGCTTCCTCTCTATCGCCATTAGCACGTTTACATCGGGATGGCCGAGCTCGTCCAGCCACCAATCCTACCGTCCGGTCGTTTCGTATTCTAGGCTATAATCTAGTCAGCTTCCTAGCAGCACATCAAGAGTATCGCGCAAACGCATCGACACACACTTACACGCGCGTTTTCTCGTACAACTCGTGGCCCCGATGGAAGCCGTGCCGCGGAACGCGACGGAACTCGCGCGAAAGTCCCGGGCTCGCGCGTTACGGTATACCCTTTTGTACGCTAGAATACTAAACGGCCCGGGACCAGGACGAACCAGCTCGCGCGCGCGCCGCCCTCCGGAGCCCACCGCGACCCTGCGGCTTCCGTCGGCCACGCTCGCATACACATACTCGCAGAGGCTTTAAACAGGTGTGATCGTCGGTGGCCGGTGGGGTAGGTAGATCGCGCGCTCGATTCGACCAGCTTTCTTCTTCGTTTCGTCCGCGGATCGATCGATCGGCGATCCTCGCTTCCGCCTCCGTGCACTATCGATCTCTCGCTCAAGCCCTCTGTTCCCGGCGACCGGACGAGTCCCGCCTCGTTCCCGTCGCCCGCGACAGGGCATTCACCAAAAACAAAAAAAAAACAGAAAAATGGCCGAACAAAAACCGAGAGCCCCTTTTGTCTCGAGATCGATCTCGGTGCTTCGGCCGCCGCACCGTCGACAACCATTGACAAGCTCGCATACCCGTTCCTTTCGCGTCGCTCGTCTATAGGAACTCTCCTAATATCCGCCCATATCCGGCCGCATCCGCGCGCCTATTCATTCCGAGACCTGTTCCTAACGGTACAGGCACACTTCGATCCTCCTTCTCGCGGAACCGTCGCGCGCCTTTGTTTCCGTTTCGGTTCGGTTTTCGACGACCGCGTGGCTCTCTCTCTCTCTCTCGTCGAGTCTTCCCAGCGCGGTCGCTTCGGCGCCGAGATCGATCCCGCGACGGACCCGCGCCGCGCCGCTGCTCGGTCATTTTCTTTCCGATCTGCGCCAGAGGAGACGTATAATATTTATTCGATCGCGACCGTGCGTCGTAATGTTTGTAAATTTTTGCTTTGTAAGACTGTGTACATATATATATTATATATATATATTTACCGCGATCCAGCGATTTAGCGCACGTTAATTACGGACCCGATCACGGATTCCACGGTGAGAGAACGGATCCGCGGAGATCCATTCGAACACCCGAGAGAGCGGATACGCGTATGCGAACACGCTCAGTTCGCGGCGCATACTTTTCAACGGCGTTCTTCGGCATCGGTCCCGTTCGACCGGGTACACACGGAACACTCCGCTTCGTACAACGAACTCATTTGCCAAGGAGACGGACAGGAAGAACGTGTACACCACGCCCACCATCTCATCCCGCTTTCCCGAACGTTTTCTCCGCTCTTCGATCTCTCCGCCGTTCTTTTTTCTACTCGGCCAGCGTGAGAACCGATCGCGAGAACACGGTTCGAGAAAAAGAACAGAGAAACGACCATCTCCGGCGAAGTTTCCCTTGGTACCCGACCACCACGCGTACACCGTGTTCGAGAAACAAAGAACCGTGGTGTACGTTAGAAAATTGGAGGATCGCCGGCCAGGAAATTGGCGAACGCTAGTCTCTAATTCGCGGCGGCCCGAGATGCTATCGCTTTTAATTACGCGACTCAGCCACGCCGATTGTATTCCACACCGCGATCGTTCGCGCAACGTGCCAGCGATCCGCGCGAGATTGTTATCGGCCCTGGAATCGTACCGATTCGTTCATCCTGAACCGGGGAATGCAACTGCGAATCGTATCGGTGGCCATCGCGAGCTCCACGGTTGGCGCGCGCGTCGTCAACCCTTGCGTTCGAGTAATGCCGTTTTTTTCTTTCTTTTTTTTGGTATGTACGCCCGAAGATCGCTCGCGTGTCAGATCGCCCCGTGAGAATCCAGCTTCCTATTAAAGCGTCTAGTTTGATGTAAATAATTTTTAACTTAGCGTCCTCGATGGAGAACAGTATTGTCGGTTCACGGGCAAGGATCGGCGATGCGCGAACGCACCCTCCTCGCTCTAGTACGGGCACGCTCGCTTCTGCCCTGTGTTTCGCGAGAAAACAGGAAGGTGGAGACGCGCGAAAACGTTCGGTTTAATTTCCAGTCGCGAGTTGAATAATCGCGAGCACCTCGAATCCCCGTCGATACGCGCGGTCGCAGCCAGCGGGAGCGCGGCGATCCATGGATCCGCGGCTCGCACCCCTATCTCGCATAAGTATCCAAGGGCTACGTGTCTCTAAGTATGTATGTATCTTGTAAGTTGTGTGTTAAAGCACGTCGAGCGCGGGACACATAGCGACATGTATAATGTAGAGGTGCGCGGAGAGCAACAAGCCACGTCGACCACGGCCAGCCACGTTTAACCCCTTGCGGTCCTGCGTGTAATTTATTCCGTAATTTATATCGCGGCTCGTTTGCGTTCGCACGGGAACCAGCCTCGCGACGATCGTCCGTTGGGGTTGATTTTTTGTTTCGGGTTTCGTTTCTCCTTGGAGCACAAGCCAAGCGTGTGGAACGCGTTCGATTCTCGTCGTTGAGGTACCTTTTCCGTTGAGCTCTCTGTGCGAGCTCGAGTTCGTACTCCTGTAAATATCGCGTGAGAAGAGAAAATGTGAAATCGCTCGGTAAACGATTCGGTTCGGTTCGGTTCGGTTCGACGTCGTTTCTACCGGGACGACTGCAACGGGTTAAAGAGTGCCGGACGCGTCGCGACGCAAGACAACACGCCCCGATCCCCGCCGAGAAATCTAGTCTTTGTAGCGTTAACACTACCGATGCATTATTATTAAAAGCGACGAACGCGAAGCGGCGCGCGATCTACGTTGCCTTTCGGCAAATTCGAGATGCACGACAGACGAATTATCCTCGAACGAAACGAAACTGCCGCGGCCCATATCCTTTCCTTATCATCGGGGGGGAGGGAGCGGAACGAAGGCTCTCTCTCTCTCCCTCTCTCTCTCCTCCCTCGTCGGCGACACGGTGAATCGTCGTTGCCCGACGAATCAATCATATCGAGTTATCGCGAGTGAGCTGCAGCACCGCGCTGACTAATCCATTTATCAATTCGTACATCGTGTGCGCGCCGGGAAACCTCCGAGCCCCGCCCTCGGCAAACGCATCGCCGGAATGAGAGAATGAGCGCAATCGGAGCAATTCGGGAACGCGATGCGAAACGAGGAGAGCCGCGCAGGGCCGGGAAAGAATAGTATTTACGATTAGAAAATAGTGGAGAGCTTCTGAATAGTCGTTAACGCGCGGAGAAAAACTGTCGCGTGCGATGCTTCTCCGTACGGGAAGAGGAAACGGACACACAGCGCGCAGAGGGTTGATTTTCCCGATCGGCGCGGATAGACGAACGTATTTTTGTTTGGCACAACAACGCTGCATCTCGCACACGACGGCGCGCGGTTGCTGCCGGATTCATCGAGAGAAAAGAATGGGAAAAAGAAAGAGAAAAAAGAAAGAAAGGTCGCCCGAGAAGCATCGCAGGCGCTGCTGTTCGAATGAATGTTCGCTTGCCGCGATTATAAAGGTGAAGACAAGCGAAAAACCCGCCCCGATATCACCTTCACACACTAATCGACGTACAAAAAAGAAAAAAAAAATAACGATCGTTACAGTTACTATTTTTTACTTAGAATACTATTTCCTCCAGCTCTGGCCAAACTGTATATATACACACGTATCCAGGCATCATTGTGTGTGTGTTTCCTTCTTTCTCGATCGAGGCGATTTAACCCCACGGCGAGCGGATCGCGAGTAGCGATCTACGAAAATACCTAGCCCTACGAAAATTAAATTATTTATTCGCTGCGTTATCTAAACCGCAGGATTGTCTCGGCTCTCGAAATGTCGGGACGATAAGAGAGAGAGAAAAAAAAAGGAAGGATCGGAGAAGCGGAGTTTTGCTTTTGTTGCGATCGATTCGAATCGGGCCGCGAACGATTGCGGGGGTTAAAGAGCCTCGTGAACGCGCCAGCGGCGAGCGGAGTGGCTCGCTCGGCTGTCCGTATGTTGGCTGCTCGCTCGATCATTTCTCGCTGATGATTTCGCCATTGAAAGTTCACGAAACGCGTTTCTCGAGTCATCTTCCACGGTCGCCGAGCGACGACCAACCCCCTGCGGGGTGTGGGACCTACGCGATCGTGGTGGAACGAGTCAGGAGGAACGCGAAGAAACTCGCTAACGCCGAATTTTCTACACGACACGACACGACATAACGCTCCCTCGAGCCGTTTCGATTTCGAAACCGCTCCGGGCATAGTCTCGAAGCGTCGGGGACGAGCGCCCCGTAGTCTATACTACTGCCGGTCTCTCTCTCTCTCTCCTTTCCCCCTTTTTTTATTTTTGATAAGTTCCCACCGATCAGGGAGGATGATTATATTATATATATAAATATATAAATATATACATATACGGTATATTGTAATAGAATATATCGCGTCGCGATGCTGACTCTGCATTCACACACATTCCTCAAAGACACACGATGTCGTCGCTCTGTATATCTTCGTTTAAGTGTGATAAATGCGGGACTATGATAGGCGAAGGATCGCCGGGGACAATCGGCAACGGAACCCGACGGGCACGGCGAAGACCACGACGTCCACGACCCCGATTTAGCCATTTAATCGCGAGCAATCCACCACATTCGTCGCTGACTCGACAAGGTCCGCGCCGTCCGCAAAGCGTTAGGGGCTGCGGGTCCATTTTTGCAAATATCACTCGCTTCTTTCAATCGTCTTGATAAAACGGTCGCAAGATCCTCAGCCATATCCAAAATGTATCATTAAGTAGTCCTCTTCACGGTGAAACCGCTCGTAACGCTTTGCCCGCGGCTCGACTTTTCTAGCATCCATCACCGGCCAGGCACAAACTAACGATAAAACGATGATATGTCGATCATCCATTGTCCCAAGTGATTATTCTCTTACTGTATTATTCGATTGCGACGATTCTATTTGTCCTTTATATTCTATTGATCGCGTACATCATCGTTGCTGTTATTGTTACTGTTATTGAGATTGTTGTTGTTGCTGCTGCTGCTGTTATAATCGCGCTGTTCTCACCGGCCCAGCCCCGTCGTCGCTCTCGTTGCCCGTCGTCCTCGTGGACGTCGCCATTTGGCACCGGCGTAATCGGTACGCTAATTAAACAATAAGATACGACTATCGCCTACTCAATGTACAATATGTAGTATTTACCTGTTGTTACCACCAAACCGTCATCAAAGATATATAAAATATTGTAATTGTAACACGTGTCGTTGTTATCCAGATTTTTATTCACTCCTACCCGTTCTCAGGCGAATATAGACATGGAAATATTTACAACAGACTTTAAATTACAAGTACTCCATAAACCATTTTTTGTCGTATTTCGATATCCATTTGTGGCAGCCGAGCATATTGTTCTGAATAATGTATTTCCAAACCCAAGGATTTAGACTTTCCTCCTTGATTCTTCTCTTCTCTAGCTCCGCTTTCTCCATCATTTCCTGACTGACCGCTTCCGCGGCGAACGGCATTTTATTCGCGATATCCTTGAGGAACTTCTTGACCTAGAATAAACGCTCGATGCATCATCGTAAAAAACATGTCGCGGTGTGTGACAAATAAAATCTTTATTACTTCGAAGAACTCGAATGGTCCTCCTACTTCCACCAGAATTTGTCCCGATTTTACCGGTGTCGCGTAATGATTTATGCCACCCTTGCCGCGACCCATTCGCATTCCGTGGCTCTACGAATTTTATTCAATTATTATGAGCATTCGAACGCTCTGTCCTGCGATACAATTTAAATACCTTCTTCGTTATAGGCTGCCATGGCTCTGGTACTCTCCATATTGCAAATACATCTTTATGGTATTTATAAACTGTTCTGAGTAGAGTATAACGTATGACTTCGTAGTGACAATGTTTTAGTCTACCTCCTCCTCTTGCCTGTAATTTGAGTTATCTTCATATACAATGGAGATAAAAACAAACAGATCCAATACGTGTAATACTAGTACTCTTACTACTATGCCATATTGTTTGTATAAGAGAGTGTTGTGATGCAATTCTGGACCACGCATTAACTTTAACCTCTTTTGCATCCTAAAGTTATGAACTCCGTGCGGGTATATAGGAACTTTTGGACAAACTTTTAGCTTTTTACGTTCAGGTATTTCAATATCTATGAAACATACATTTTTATTAGAAATTATAATCACGTATTACGATTATTTATCACTTTACATACCCTTAAATGAAATTGGTACTGCATACGAGTTCATTCTAACTATTCCTGGATTTAGCCACGGCTTCAATAAAGTGCGGGCTGTAAAAGAACAGAATGATGAGTATAAATGTATATCTCGTTGAATGTCAAATGTTATATTAAATACTTACCTGACAGCAATGTTCTCATTATAACGCTGTTCGTTTGCATCTTTTCAGTTGTGTATGTAACTACTTTTTGTATTAAAACACACTTGTTTCCTAACCTTATATCATTCGATATTACTGTTTAAGACTGTTGCCGAGATACAACAGCTTTCATCATACAGCAAACTCTTCTTTTCTGTATAATTCAATAAATGATATAATAATATTTAAATAACAAAACGAACAGTTGCTTTGCTCCGTAAAACATTTAAGAGACTAGGATAGTCACGTGACTTTACGGATTCAGCAGATCGATATCTGCTGTACAGATTTCATTACATAAATGGTAGCTGTGTAGCTGCTTGATAAATACGAGATGGAGCCACCGGCATTTTCTATTTAGAATGAGAAAGAATCACAATTCAAATAGAAATACATATTCGCCGAATCAAGAAAAACAGTGACATTTTCTTATAACTTTTGAACCATTGGAGGTATATATACCCTTTGTCATTGATTATGGGGCAGCACCGTCAAACCAATGAATCGTCATTTTCAAATTAGAGCACAGCAATTCGCTTCATTCTCTCGATTCAAGAACCTCGTTGCCCCCGGATATGGTTCTTGAATTATTATTGAATTATTATTAATTAATTATGAAATTATTATTTGATATTATTAATTAATTATGAAATTATTATTGATATTATTAATTAATTATTAAATTGAATTATTATTAAATTATTATTGAATTATTATATCACATTACAAAAACCCTTACTGTTGACAGCGCTATTCGTGGCAAATCGTCCAAACCGACAGCCGAGCCAGCCAATGAATTGTTTACCCTCGGTTGGTGTTCGAAGAAAAAATTTCGTCACAGCACAGATGAGGTATAGGAGTAGACTTGACACCATATGGTCCATGGGCAAGAGGCTAACGAAATGGTAGCGCTACGTAGATCGTGAAGGCCGCACAATTTAGAAAGAGGAAAGCAAAAGATCCGACTGGAGTTTCGCTTCTAGCATAATCTGATATTTATGAACATGTTTAAAAGGGACAACTTCAACGGGTTGCGTCTGTTTGACAGAAGAGAGGGGAATGTGTGTTCGTGCGCGTATGCGAACGGTTTATGTTAATGGTATTTCTAAATGATCGTGCCGTTTGATGGGAAACAGTGAACGGAAATATTTCAAGACTGCAGTTCGTCGGACGAGATTAGGCTTGAAAATTCCGCGGAAACGGACGGCGTAAAATGAAGCCTTTAATCGAGTTCGAGGAATGTTTGCGGGACACGCCAAAGTTTCGGTGAGAATTGGTTAAAACTCGAGCTCTCTCTAACGCTGTCCTATAGAGCAGTGGTTTTATTCCGTCGTGCTATGCACATCTTGTTTACTATGGATCGAGCGGTTGAATGCACCCAGCTCGATCGTGAATCAACGATTCAGAATGAATTTTTTAACACTTCCATCCTTTCTACCTACAGATCGTGCATCGAGGAAGTGGAGACGAATGTTGATCTGCTAGAACAAAAGCTAGACAAGGTATCGCTCCAAACAGATTGCATTGTGTTTCCTACGCAACGCTTATTATATTTATCGATGAATTTTTGCAGTCCGAGTTAGGATATTGATCGATCGAAATTTTCACTTTGATCGATTAACCAATGCTTACGATTTGACAGAGTTAATCGTCGAAGATCACAATAGATTTAATCGATCGCGAAATTGGTTTTTAATTATTGATAACAGTTACGAATCGACGATTAAAAATGCCATTTTAATTGCACAGCATTATCCGAGTCGGTTCAATTGTCGCCTTTGATTTTTTTTTTATATTTTTTGTATGTGTAATTTTATTTATTCAATATGTTCACAAGTCAATGCATCTTTTTTAGGTGTTAAAAAACTGTAGCCAAATGATTGACACCGGGAAACTTTTTATAGGACAGCAAAGGTAAGTTGTTAAACTTGTTGGAATTTCAAATGAAGTTAAACAAATACTATGGAAATGATTAATTGGTTCAATGAACTGAGTCAGTGAAAAAAAATATTTTAATTGCTTCAAATGACGTTTGCTCTGTATTCAAGGAGGAGGGAGTTTCTGAGTAATAGAGAAAATCAGGAAACATGTATGAATTACTGCTCTGTTGGGAGTGACTCATACTTGTGGCCTCTGTAATACACAATGAAGAATGATACTGCTTGAAATTCCAGGAATATGAACAATTTTCAATGAGTTTTCTCTACATAATCATGAATTCTGAATATTCACCTATTTTTTAACTGTTTTTAAAGATATACATCTTGGTATATACAAGGTGTTCCACCTGATCAGATACTTTTAATATTTCTCCCATTTTCAATGATGCAAAAGTAGATGTTAGAAGTGTGCATGATTTATAGTATTTTAAATGGTATTTATATTTTTATTATCAGTATGCAGTAATCAGAATAAAAATCAATTCAGTGGCTTAGAATATCATGACCTCTGTGCGACCTTAAGTAAAACCAAGAGAAATGTATTTTGCAAAGAATAAATGAATCATTCACTAAAGAATGATTACCTATTCAATGATCATTGAACAGTGAGAATATACTGTACTCAAGGTTTGCTTAGTCATTACATCAATCTTCATCATTATGCAATAATGATAAAATATTTAGACACATTTGGGAAATTATCGATGACGTTACAATCTCGGAAAGAGTTCGACCTTAAAAAAAAAATTTTTCTTGAAAATAATATTTAATAAAGAAATTTTTGTTGCAGTCAATTCACCAATAGTCTCTGGGAATTATCACTCTACTTTAACGATGATTCCGAGATAATGGCCTTCCTAAACAAATTAATCCATGCTTTACAAGAAATGAACAAGTTTCATACTATTTTATTAGATCAAGCATCTAGGACCGTGATTAAAGATCTTAATTCATTCATCAAAAAGTAATGTGTATATTTTAATTAAATGATATATGCTTTAAATATTATATTTATTATTTATATTATATATTATTATTATTATTATTTAATATATTATATTAAATATTATATTATTTATATTTATATTATCTATATTATTCCGACGTATGTATAATGTTTGTAATATTTTTACAGTGACATCAAAAGGGTGAAAGAATCGCGTCACTATTTCGAAAAAATCTCCGCGGACTTGGACATAGCTTTAAACAAAAATTCACAAGTCCCAAAGACCAGACCTGCGGAATACGAAGAAACTTCTAATATTTTGTCAGCTACTCGATCATGCTTCCGACACACCGCACTAGATTACATTCATTCATTGACGATGATACAGGCACGGAAGCGGCACGAGATACTAGGTTCATTACTTAATTACATGAACGCCTGTATCACATTCTATCACCAAGGTAGCGACCTGGCGCAAGACTTAGATCCATTTTTGAAAGAGCTTGGGGATGACTTAATTAAAATGAGGGCCGACTCGGTGAAGCTTGAGAAAGAAATGGAGAACCGACATATTTACGTTACGAATAGAGACTTAATACCCTCATTAACACCCGGTAATCCGAAAATGGAAGGCTACCTTTTCAAACGAACCACCAATGCATTCAAAACGTGGAACAGAAGATGGTTCTGCCTGAAGGACCAGCAGCTCGTGTATAGAAAAAGAATTGGTGACAGTGACTATACCGTCATGGAAGAAGATCTTCGTCTTTGCACTGTGAAACCAGTGGTAGACTGTGATAGAAGAAACTGCTTTGGAGTACTAAGCCCTGCAAAGTAACTCACCTTCCATAATCTTGAACATTCGTTCTCGTTTCTCCGTGTAAACTGAAAATCATTTACAGGAGTCACATTTTGCAAGCTGATAGCGAAGAATCATATTTAGCATGGGTAACTGCCGTTCAGCAAGCAATTGGTGCTGCCATTCAAAGGGAATTGCAATTACAGAACATAAGAGGCTCGAGTAGACAGGCGAAACCTAAATCATGGTAAAAGAGTGCGCAGTTTTCTAACGCACTGATAGAGGATGTAGAACGGACAAAATTCACAATGCCTATTATTCGTCGCAGGGTCTGGGAACAAATCTTGAAAATTCCTGGTAACGATATCTGCTGTGATTGTGGCGGTGCTAACCCGAGGTGGGCCAGTATCAACCTTGGAATCACATTGTGCATAGGCGAGTCATTGCTATTACGATTAAAATTCTGGAGTCATCTAATGCGACGATTTAGAATTACTTATAAATTACTGACGGTGACTAGCAATTTATTGCTTCGCCTGACCCCTCTCGATGCTGTCACAGTGTGACTCACACTGTTCCTAATCAAATAAATCGTTGGAGTACCGATCGTGTACCTACTATTTTTAAAGTACTTAATTTTTGTAGAGTGTTCCGGAGTGCACAGAAGCTTAGGCGTTCATTATAGCAAAGTGCGTTCCCTCACGCTAGATGATTGGGTGCCGGAAGTATTGAAAGTGATGGCGGAGCTCGGGAACACTGTGGTAAACAATGTCTACGAAGCCCTGCCAATAACTCCCGACATAGTTAAAGCTACACCAAAGTGCGCCGGGTATGTTGCGAGTATGGTGAACGGTAGGAGAAATCGTATGTCTAAATTCGGATCTATTTTTCTGTCATTGTCAACAGCAACGTCCGTGAAGCTTGGATAAGGGCTAAGTACGTGGACCGTAAGTTTGTGAAACCGTTCAGCAACATGATTTCGTCTGGTCTGAACTCTGGCCATGACAAGATGCACTTCCGGAAATGGAGCGTCCGGAAACTGCGTCGCAGGCCACGGAGTTGCGATAAAATCGGCAATATGGAGAAGACGGCGACGCTGTCTTCGGTGAAAGAGGGCCAGCACTCGACGAGCTCGGACGACAGCAAGCACACGTCTATAGAGAGCTTAAGCTCCGTAGACAAAGCGAAGAAAGTTGAAAGAAGTTCCTTGAGCTCCGACGATAGCATGAATCTAGATCTGAAGAACGAATCTACACTGCATGGCAAGATAATGGTGCGAGCTCGTAGCGAGATTAGAGAGACCGTTAAAACTGTCGACAGCAATACAGAGTCGAGCGTCGAGAACGAGCCCAAGCTTGACTCCTCGGAGGCAGCTGACAATACGATATCCAACTCGGAGAATAGTTTATCGTTGAAAAGCGAAGTGTCCTTAACCGCGGAGATTTCCGACGTCAAAGACGTCATAGAGAATAAGGATGTCGGGACCGAGAAGCAGTGTACAAAGAGGATAGAGTCGGACGTGCTGATGTTCGGGTGCGATCTACCAAAGCCATCGATCGATAATAGCTTAGAGTTAAGTTCGGATCAGGACTCCACCGTCGGCGAAGACGAAGAGTTCACCGACGAGGAGGATATTGAGAATTTGCATCCCGACATGCTGCTCTACAAAGCCGCCGCTGCACACAATCTTCCGGTGATGTGCGCAGCTTTTGCGACTGGTGCTGATAAGTCCTGGTCCAATGTCAATGATAAGGGACGCAACGCACTTCATCAAGCCATTATAAGCGTTAGTCTTACCTACATACTTAATGCTTGAGTCAAGCACATCAATTTTCAACCAGATTGATCAGCTTTTTTTTAATATCCCTCTATTTGTATTTAGGGATCTGTAATGTCCTGCGAATACCTGATTCTTAATGGTGCCCGTATTAATTGCCAGGATACCGACGGAAAAACTGCACTGTACTTGGCCACAGAGTTAGGTACGCGTAGCAATAAAACTGAAGTAACAATGAAGTATATTTCTTTGTTGAACTTTTAGGCCATACTGCCCAAGTGTGTTTACTCCTGAAGCATCGTGCCAACCAGCACATTGAGGACGAAAGTGGTGTGAAGCCTCTGTCATTAGCTGTGAAGGAAGCTAACGCAGACATTGTCACTCTGTAAGTAGGGATATCTCGATGGAAAATCTAGGGATAATCTGGCTTCGTCTAAAATTGATTATCGCTTTTAGATTGCGTCTTGGTCTCCTGAACGAGGAAATGAAGAATTCGGAGATCGGTATCAGCGGCGACGAAACGTTTAATGACGTAGTCCGCGATTTTAGCCAATTGGCATGCTCTCACCCGGAACGATTACAACGACGAAATGAAAGTAACAACGCTGCCCAACCACCCGAATGAGGTTTAAGGTCGTGCAAGTCTTATTTGCAGAATGTAAAAAGCTTGCTACAACGCAAAGAGAAGAAGGAAAAGAGCGCATCGAGAGTGTCGTCTTTCAGTTCCTTGCAGGGTAACAAAGTTGGTTAACGAGGTAAGCACGTAGAAAGTGGAACTCGAAGGTATAGCAATCGAGAAAAAAAGAAACTGAGATTGAAACAGAGTCTCTCTCTCTCTCTCTCTCTCTCTCTGCACTAAACGATCTCCGCGCGACGAACATGTGATTTTGATATCTCCCTGATTTCCCGTTTTGTATTTAGATTCGAACGAACCAAGAAACTTTCAGATTCTTTGCCAAAAAAAAACATAAAGGGAATATGTAAATTATATTTTGCTTACTCATGGTATAATGCTATCCGGTGATAAACTGTTGAGGACGTCTCTTCCTTCCCCTGTACCTACTGCTCCATAAAAAAATTCACAGAGAAATATCTCTTCCACGACACAACGGAATTTTGAGACTCGTAAAGTTTTGCAGGTATGAAAGAGCGTAGATTATTATTAGCGGGTACTTGTATAACGTTTATGTGATACGAGAAACGTGACAAAATAGCGTTAACTCTGTTAAATACGAGAAGTTTTACTATTTAACCGACATCACGGTTGTTCCAACACGATAGTACGGTCTAGCAAGATGTCTTTGGAAGAACGACAATTTTATACGTATATCTGTTTTTTATATACTTAATATTATCCAGTAGTGTATATACGGCTGGCACTAAAAGTTATTGTTTCAGTTTTATTCATTCGATTGGGTTGGTGCACGTGAAGCTTTTTGCACTGCAATAATTAGGCTGCAGGTTTGTTTATGCATTTACGCCAGACCTGAGTGTGCAAAACGCGGTGAATAAAACGTTCGCTAATACATTCCGTAGAATTTCGAAGTTTTAACGTAAAGACGAAAGGTGATAATAATCAAGTTAGTCGCAATTATCTAGAGAAAGACTAATCACCGGAAAAAAAAAGTAGAAAAAGATAAATGTGATCGTGTGTAATGAATTTGTAAAATGTGTGCTTACGAGTTGATCGACAAGAAGAGTATTTTACGTGCAACAATCCAATAATCGTAGCGACGCGATACCGTGTAATTAGTATCGAACTATGACATTATTGATACATAGAGTTTATGTAGTTGATCTAGATGTTACATTTCTGAATAGCTATAAAACTGAACCCATTGAATTACCAAAATAGATTAAAGACGATTCTGTAAGTAGTTACTGATTAATATAGAATTTGTTGCCAAAAATGTGAAACGTTTGTACATACAAACTTAGGGAGATCTGATTACTATTCGATGTTGTATACTTGGGAGCAAATACTTTATTTCCGTGGACCATTTCCGCGTCCACGCGAGCGCATAATTTAATGCAGTGTGTCAGAATCTTTCTGCTTGTTTCTGCGAGGTTTTAATCGATCTAAATTTCTGTTAATTTACGCGGACGTAGGTACAATGATGTGTAGATTTTATGAGACAGAACTTGCCGGAACAAACGTTGATTTATTCCATTGTGATTATTAGATGATAGACGTTTTCTTCGAATAATTGACTAACGTATAAAATATACAAGACTTAAAATCTCAAAGCAAAATTGATCATAAATGTTTAATGTTACGACATAATGCACATCGTTGTACACTCTTCTCTATTTTCCATGACTTGTACAACGAATATGTTTAACGTTCATTGTTTACTTTTCATTGTAATATTATGGATTGTTTTAACAGTATTGATAAAAGTCTTTTTTAATGTAATGCATGGATTTTAATGCATAGCGAAAGGAAAAGTGCGAAACCGAGGAAAAAAATAGATAGTTAAGTAGAGGCTTTATCGATAGAGTTGCGGATCAGCGTACAGAAAAAAAAGAAACCGAATCATTGGCTCTTCTATGTCTACAGTTTAATATATTTCTCATTGTTTGATTTACATGTAGTATGTATTAAGGGGACCGGAAAGTTATGTCGTTTGTTCACATTAAATACAAACAGATAAATTTTTAACTAGTTTTTATTTTCAATCAATGATGTAATCACCCTCATTATCAACAACCTTTTTTCATTTAGTATGCAAAAATTAGTATGCAAATAAAAAGGAATACTGACATGCGCAGAAACGACATTACTTTCCGGCACCCCTAATATTATCGTATACTTGTTTCGAATCTGGTATTCGATTTTATAGAACTAATCAGCCGTTCGTTTAATAAACGTGAACACAACGCGACTACACAGTTAAATATCAGACACGCTTTGTCGCACCGACGTATCTGCGACAAAACGGTTCTCCGTTTTAGTATAAAATATATCGCATAGCCTGTTATCTCTTAGTTTCTAATCATTCGTAATTATCGCAGTAACTTTAGAAGAATCTTGGTGTTTGGTTAAATATTCCCTGAACTGCCGCGAATCATTTTCTCCTATTCGAACCGGCGAATTTCAATGAACGATCGATGCTTTACACGTATTTGTACTTATATTTAGTCCTTATTTTTCTACATGTTTTTTACGCAAAACGAACAGAAAAAAGAAAGACGAACAGCGGACAGGGGGAGATCTGTGCTAAGCAATCTTTTGATTCGACCGATAAACTGTCTTCCACGAAACGTTCTTCGCTGTTGTGACATCTCCTCTTCCATTCAATGTTTTGCCGACGAAACAATAATTTTTTTACACGAAATTGTATTGAACTTAGGACTCGCTGTTACGATATTCTCATTGACACCCAGCTGCTGAACGACTGCTATTGTTTCACTGTTAACAATTGATTCATTGCATTGAAAATGTGAACGAATAATGTACAATATTGTAAACAGACTTCATAAAGCAAGAATTATGCAAGCGATCCAAGTTGTATCCTTGTGTTCACTTTCCCATGATTTTTATCGAATATTATTTACATCGATCGCACAGGCAATCGACGTTACTTAGTATCGTTTTCCCGAGAACTTGTACACCGATCAATTTCCAAACTGTGGACTACAAGTATTTTCCTTATCCTTCTATTCAAAATATAAATTGTTTAAATTGCTGCAATATTTCCGGTTCGTTCGACCGTTTCGAATCGAAAGATTGTACTTTTGAATGGTGCCGGACTGCTCGTAGGACAATCTGATGCTTCGCCCTGGTTCACTGGGCGAAGATGGGTGGACATCGGATCCGGCGGGGAACTTGCGCAACCAATTATTATTTCTCGTGAGAACGATGGAAATACGGCGCAATTCGTGAACCGCAGATCGAGAAATTTCTGTGAGGGAACGCACATGCATACGCACAATTTACGCGTCACTCCTTGCCCGGTTGCGTAAATTCATCCAAACGGGTCAAGTCAATACCCTATCGTCTGCAGTTATCAGTTTACATACATACATATGTAAATACGCACGCACGGAGAAACCATCCCGGGCTAATTTATATCACAGATTTTTCTATCTCTTCTCTAAGAGAGCATTTACTCGTCTTACTAGCATTTGTTTACGACGGTCGCGGAGGCTGCCAGATACGTAGGCGACGTCAGATCTTTTTGACGTCGAAACTGTAAAACAATAACATTCCGACAATAATTGAATGTCGCCGCAACATTTACTATGCTGTCAAAATGCATTAATTCATTCGATCGGAACGAATCGACCATTTCGTTTCAACGTTCCAATTTTTACTTTGGCAACTCCGTGAAAGGGTTTTCTGTTTCGGACCACGTTTTGAGACACATTTTGCACAATTAATCTTCGGTACTCTTGCGTTAATCGATCTAATATTGTAATTAAAATAAATCGATCGATCGCATTTCTAGCAGCACGAGTTTCTTTCAGGAATAATTCCCAGTAATTGTCTTTTGCCTCGCGTCGAGATACATATTTCTGCAGTGTTAATTATTGCGCTTCGTATATTTCGAGACGTCGGAGGAATTCAAGAATATTCTTGCATTATTTTCAAGCATTCAAACTAATGGGAACAAAATGTACATATACGTACTCTTATCGGTCTCCCGTTTCTTACAATCCGCGCCAATTTTTATTAACAATTTGCAATCGGCCGAACACCGCGAGCATAAAATACGAATAATTATTCTTACAGATAATATGCAGCGTGTTAGCGTCTATATCCAATTAGCGTGCGATTAAAAATAAGAGCAAAGAGTGCACAGCATTTTTGATGGGCCATCTAGATGTCTGCGAGATCATTCTCGAAGCACGTGACAGTAAATCCCTGCGGAATCGGCGAGATTTTTCGGCCGTGCCCGAAAGAAAAGCTCGGCGGGGTCAGCCATCGCGGCTCGATCATTGGCTTGCAGCGGCGGAAAAGCTCGCTGATCGTCGATCGTCGATCCTGGATTGGCTCGGTCCGAGCCACCGTGATAAGAAAACCGCGGCACCAATGGCCGAAACTGCCATTCCGATAAAAGCGTTTGTTTGTCGTCGCCGCGGCGAGCGTCGATCTTTTGTATCGGGACGCCTATTGCACGCGTCGATCTTCCCGCATTCATTGATCCATCGCGCGCAAAGCGTAGCTCCTACGCAACGATCGCGTATCATTCGATGCATGTACCACCCGCATCCACGACGCGCTTCGCGACGGGCACGCAACGCAAAGTAATAATATGTATATATATATAAATATAATAATATTATATTAATAACATTATTAATATATATAATATAAAATATATAATTATATAATATAATTATATAATATAATATATATAATATAATATATAATTATATAATATAATATATATAATTATATTTATTATATTATTAATATTATTATTTCATATCGATAATTTCATATGCATCGAAGAGGAAACAGCAATGTTATCAAATTCGTGTAATGCGTTCGCACATTGGTTGCTGTACACAGATTGTTGCAACGATTTCTTCGAGTAAAATCTTTCCGAAGAAAGTGGAATTTTTCAAATGAAATCTTTTCGTTGCACATTATTTTGAGGATTATTTTTCTTTCGTATAAAGTAAACTCTTCTCGTTGCATTATTATTTCGAGGATTATTTCTTCTGTTACAGTAATATTATATATTAATATAATAATTCTTTTATTATAATAACAGTAACGAAATACATGATTCGTTATGCGAGATTGCTACTATTTCATAAGATCCGATATCATTCGCATCCGATATCATTCGAGGTGAATTGAACGAAATAGTTATTTCTCATTTTCATTTGAAAATGGAAGGTAAGATACCTAAATCGAGATTAGACGTTAAGGGTCGAGAAATAACGGCCTATCGGCCGTCTAAGATTGCAAGGGTGGTTTCGGTGCGGTTTCTTGGTAGACAGTCGAAACTAATGCCTCTCTTCCCCTATAATTTCCGTTGAAGTGTCCGCGAGCAGGGGAGAGGAGAGGAGCGGGCCGTAAACATATTTTTGGCACCACCCTCCGGAGCCGCGGATCACGGGGGAGGGCAGTAATCGAATAATTAACGAGCAACTCGCCGCTCGTTCGTGTCCGTCAGTAAAATTAGCGCAGCTGCGCACGGAATGATATGCGCAACCACAAGACACCGACGATCGTTCGAAATAGGAGCTCTTCTAGGCGTCGTAGACTGCCTGCCGCCGCCTTTCCGTTTTGCTTGCGCATACATAGAGTCGTGTGTTAGCAACGGCGGAGGCCTCTTTCGGCCAGAATCGGACCATTAATTTTTCGCTAATTAAACGCGACGACGGACGTTCCGTTTGCCGCCGGGCCCTGGACGCCGCCCTTTGAACCTCCGACGGACGTAGAGCACATAAAACACGAAAAATCAAACGATTCCGCCGTTCGAAACTCCGCCGACGATGCTCGGACAAACGATCCGACTTCTTCCGAAAATTGCTCGCGAACGGCGGTCTTTGCGATTTCTTGCTTCGAATACACACGTTCGCTTCTGCGATACTCGTTCTGCGTTTCTCGAACTGTAATTTCCTTACCTCGAGGCTAATTTCCGTCGTGAAAGGAGGAAATAACTACTCGCAAGCATCTTGCAAATAAATAACTGACTAACTACAGCAAAGTCTCCCTAACTGGCGCCCAGATCGTGCACAAAAAATGGACAATTTGAGCGTCAATTAGAGAGACATTACTGTACTTCGAAGTTAACATCACGGAGATATCCTCCTGTGTGTTTCGAACACGTTTGTCAACGCGAACAACAATTGCCGTTTCTTTCGTCGCAATTTTTATCGCAGCGTCGCGAGGCAGGTTTCGCACTGCAAATTAATACTTTTGTAAATCGTGTTCAATTTGTCAGAGTTATGTCATGCAGTGCTGGTCACAGCAATGACAAATTGTCCATCGCCATACACAATTTGATCTTATACGATACTAATGCACGAGCTCGAATTACGTTTATCGAACTTATCGCAAAACCATCGTTCGACAGCTGCCGATTCGTCCGTCGCTGGAAAAATAATCCGTGCGTACGTGTAAAATCAGCAACACGTCCAACGATTCGTCCGTCGCGCGAGGTCTGCGGAACGGTGCGCGGTGCGAAAAATGTTTCCACGCTTGCGAATCGCATCATCGCTGCCGGACAGATATTCGATCTAGCAATTTTGCGCTTCCCAGCCGTTAACCCAATAGCTATCGATTGATCCTCATTAAAATCATTCGCGGTGATCTCAGCATAGCGAGCATTCCACGTGAGAAGAACATCTGTCGTCAATCTGTTCGATGCCTGCCGAACGTCACGGGGTAATGCAAAACACACCCTTGATCCTACGCTAATTTATTGGAAAGTAATTAGCCGCGGCGGGCAATCGGCTCGATTCGCCGCGTGTAAGCGTCTCGATCGGATGGCAGCTTCGTTAATTACAATTCGAAGACGGTGACGAATCACCGTGCTCTATTCTTCGGTCCCAGAACACCCTCTTCGTCGTCCGACGCGATCAACCAGTCGTACGATGTCCGTGATCCGGTATTCGATAAATGCCAACAGCTCCTGGTCCTTCGAAATCGACGTTGATCCGTGGATCCTCCTCGTCTTCCAGCAAAATTTTCAGTTTACC